CACAGCTTCATTGCTGTTTTCCCCCCATTTCCCCTTATTGGTAGACCAGCATGGTCACTAGCAAGATTACATGTCTGTTTGTGTATTCCTTTTGAGTTTCATTCTTGGAAGGGGTTAGCTCTGAGAGGATTTGATTGCTTGCCTTGATGGATCCCTGATGAACAACTTGCTTGTTCTTGTAGTAGTCAATCAGACTGCCGTTATTGTTTTTTATTTTTCCTGCTGGTCTTTCTTTCAAGGGGTATCCTCTGTTTTTCTAGCTGCTCCAGGCTGGTCTCCTTGTATTTTCAAGTGGAAATTTCGCACCTCAGAAGATTCTGGAAGGGGATCGTGATTCCACCTACCATCTTATGCAATGTGAAGGCTTTGCAGGAAGCCTCTTTCACTGGGCAAGTTCTAGTCCCATTTTAGGTATTCGAATCAGTTTTAGGCTGAAGACAGGCTTACAAGCTTTCTATAGTTATGTTTCTGACTATTCATTTCTCTCCCCTTCAAGTGCCTATTCTACAATAATAGGCAAGGAAAACCAAGATTCATAAGACATCTTAACATTGTTTCCTCTCAAACCATGCCTCTGTATCACAGAACCAGTCCATGTTACTCTTAATATTCTTCTTCAATACTATAACCCAAATGCATCAATTCTTCTATGGTCTTCCTTATTCATTGTCCAACTTTCACATGCATATAAGAATGTTGAAAATACTATGCTTGGGTCAGGTGCACATTAGTCCTCAAGCCTACATCTTTGCTGTTGAACACTTAAAGAGGCCTTGTGCAGCAGATTTGCCTAATGTAATATGTCATTTGATTTCTTAACTAATTCTTCCATGCATATCAATAGTGGATTCAAGGAAAATGAAATCTTTGACAACTTCAATCTTTTCTCCATTTATCATGGTATTATTAGTCCAGTGGTAAGGATTTTTGTTTTATTTATACTGATGTATAACCCACAATGAATACTATGGTATTTGATTTTCATCAGTAAGTATTTTAAGTCCTCTTTGCTTTCAGCAAGCAATGTTTTATCATTTGCATATCACAGGTTGTTAATGATTCCTCCTCCAATCCTGATGCCAGGTTCTTCATGAAATCCATGTTCCTCAGATTATTTATTCAGCATACAGATTGAATGTTATTGTTGTTGTCGAGTGCCGTTGAGTTGGTTCCAACCCATAGTGACCCTGTATGGGGTTTCTGAGGAGCAGCTGGTGAGCTTGAACCGCCAACTTTGCAGTTCCAATGGCTTTCAGTCTGGCACGTTAACACAGCGCTACACCAGAACTCCATATAGATTGAATAAGTATAGTGAAAGAATACAACCCTGATGCATACCTTTCCTGACTTTAAACCTTTCAGAACCCCCTTGTCCTATTCAAAATACTGCCTCTTGGTCTACGTACAGGTTCCTCATGAGCACATGTGAGTGATCAGGAACGTCCATTCTCCACAATGTTGTCTATAGGTTGTCATGATCCACACAGTGGAAAGTCTTTGTGTAGTCAATAGTGTATAGGTACACATGTTTCTGGTATGCTCTGCTTTCAGCCAAGATCCATCAGATGTCAGCAATAATATCCCTTGTTCCACGTCTTTGTCTGAATCCGATTTGAACTTCTGGCAGTTCCCTGTCAATGTAATGTTGCAGCCATTTTTCAATTATGTTTAGCAAAAATTTGCTTGCTTGTTATATTAATGATATTGTCCTATGACTTCCACATTCTGCTGGATCATCTCTGTTTGGAATGGGCACAAATACCTATCTGTTGCAATCAGTTGGCCAGGTAGTTGTCTTCCAAATTTCTTGACATAGATAAGTAAGTGCCTCCAATGCTGCATCAGTTTGTTGAAAGATTTCAGTTTGCATTACATCAGTTCATGGATTTCTGTTCTTTGCCTCTGCCTTCAGTACATGTTGGACTTCTTTCTTCAGTCTCTAGATCATATGCTACCTTTTGAAGTGGCTGAACATCCATCATTTCTTTTTGGGACAGTGACTGTGTATTCAAACAGAACCTCTACATAGACCAACTGGCATATATATTAAATGCAGCATGAAAAAAATCTGTCTTGGAAGAAATAAAGCTAGAATGCTCTTTAGGAGGGAAAATGGGAAAACTTTGTCTTATGTACTTTGGTCATGTTATCATGCATGACTTGTCCTCAGAGAAGACATCATGCTTGGTAAAGTAGAAAGTCAGTTGAAAAGTGTAAGACCCTCAAAGAGATTGTTTGACACAGTGACTTCAACAATGGGCTCAATCTTAGTGACTATTGGGAAGATGTCTTAGGACCCATCAGTTTCTCTTTCTGTTTAATTTAGTGGGTTATTGATAGCATTAGTGTAACCATTTTGCCTGCATGAACAGAAGTGTAGGTATTTTGAGAACTTAACTATACTAGCATAGTGGTTATGAGTTGGGCTGCTAACCTCAAGGTCAGCAGTTCAATACTACCAGTTGTTCCATAGGAGAAAGATGAGACTTTCTGCTCCCATAAAGATTTACAGCCTCAGAAACCTTATTCAGTGTTGCTATGAATCAGAACCGACTCCATGGCACACCACCACCACCACCAATATAATTAAGTACTGCCTTAAATACCTTACAGAGATCCCCCCTCACCCCTTTCTGTTCTTGTTTCTGTGATACATGCTTTAACCATTGTAAGAATGCTAATGGTCACCTAATTTTACTTGGAACCTGATCCATGTTTGTTTAACTTCTAATAAGAAGTAGTCATCTAGGCAAACAGGCACCTGGGAGGCTAATCATGTACTCTTTTGGATGTGTTTATCAGAACATTGTAACCACTTTGTAAATTAGTATAAATTTTAGAATAATAAGACTATAACACACCTGCATATTGTATTAATTAACACTGTAAAAACAGGTATAAATATTGCTCATAAGAAGTAATCTTTGGACACCATTAGAATCAGCCTCTTTGCTGTGGGTGTCCCAGGAGTCAGTTTCCCAATAATAAAGGCTTTTTATCTTCTTTATTTATCTGGGATGTTTGTTAATTGGATACAATCTTTCCTGTGCATCAGACCCAAGGTTTGGAGTAATACTATGATTGGAAGCAACTTTTCGGTACCTAAAAACAGCAATCCCTCCTATACAGAAACTTCTAAGGTTAATTATTTTCAATACGAAGTACCTTTTACCCAAAGCACAGACAACTACTTATATACTACATCCCTTAGGATTGGTTCCAGGACTCCCCTATATATTCCAAAATTTGAGGAGTCTCAAGTTCCTTGTTTAAAATGGCATAATACTTGCATATAACTAGTGCATATCTGCCATAAACTTTAATCTCTAGATTATTTATGTTGTTGCTGTTAAGTGTCTTCAAATCAGTTCTGACTCATATCTGTATAGAGTTTTTGAGGAGTGGCTAGTGGGTTTGACTTGCCTTGCAGCTAATATCCAGTGTAGGATAACTATAGTGCTACACCAGGACTCTACATTACTTATAATACCTAATAAAGTGTTGTTGTCGTTAAATGCCATTGAGTTAGGTTCTGACCCATAGCGACCCTGTGTAGGGTTTCCAAGGAGCAGCTAGTGGGCTTAAACTGTAGGCTGCCCAGTTCAAGTGGACTTTGCAGTTTTGACTTTTTTACATAACACTTTAATACTAAGTAAAACACACTTTACACTTCATCTTTGAATTTCAGGGATGTCTTTGTCCACTTAATTTGCTTTGTATGAGCCATTTTTTTCCCCACAGAAACAAAGCGTACACAGTACAAGTTGGAAGCAAACAATGAGAGACTACAGCAGGGTATGTGTATGTTGTTGTTGTTAAGTGCCATCGAGTCTGTTCCAATGCATAACAACCCTGTATAGGATTTCTGAGGAGTGGCTAGTGAACTTGAACCGCGCCAACCTGGTGGTTTAAACTGACTTTTCAGTCCAGCATATTAACCTGCAGTATTACACCAAGACTCTGGGTATATGTATGCATGACTTAATTTATGTGGATTTAGTTTAGTGTTCTGGGTGTGCTATTTGAGCTTTCTGGAATTTTCTTTCCAAACATTTTCAGTCCTCAGTTGGTTGAATTTGTGGATGCAAAACCTTCGTATACAGAGGGCTGATTTTATATCCAAACAATGTATGCATGAACAGTAAAATATGCTTCATATAATAGAGGTAAAAATATCTCAGAAACAGAGTTGAAAATATAAATACATATTTGTAGTTGAGACCAAGGAAAAAATATGTAACATTTTCTTTCTTTTTATACATTTTTGTTTGATTTTATCATTTTAGCACCTTTTAACTCAATGAATGGCTTTTGTAATTTTATTTTGATCAGATATTTATTAACTTTATGTTAATTGTAGGGTTAATACAGTATTTGCATGCATAACAGGATGCTTATGTTTGCAGATAACAAATTTGAACTTGTTTTTTGAGGAATTTATAACATGAAATCATAATTTATCCTTGTAATATTTTTTCTTAGGGTCAAGTACTTTCCATTAAGTTTGGCATCAGGAATGGAAGGAGACACACAGAATATATTTTAGACACAGAAATCACCAGTGTAATTTATCTTGATTAATTCACAGAATGCAACATCTAGTAATGAAGCAATTTTTAAAAAATGAACATTTGTTCAATTCAAGAATTGAGTATGGTTATTTGAGTGGGATTTGAACACTGTACTTATTTTAAAAGGATTTTGGAAAAATACTAATTCATAATATAAGTAATATTTTCTTTCTATACCATGAACCTGGATTGTATCTTGACTAGATGCTAATGACAATACTGGAGCTATTCGTATTTATTTCAGTAGCAATTGTGACTCACGCAGATCTGAAAACGGTCACTCAAAAGACAAATATTTAAAGCAAAGTGTTCTTGGGAAAAATTTCCTTAGAAACTTGTATCACTTATTGAACAAAGCATGTTATTTGATATTATCAGACACATGTTCTGATTTGTTTTATTTGACTTTTTTGTGCACTTGTTTTTTAGATAAGAAATGTCGAAACCAATCAATGTTTAGACAACATGGGCCGCAAGGAAAATGAAAAAGTGGGGATTTTCAACTGTCATGGTATGGGAGGAAATCAGGTAAACTCTGTTTCTCATTAGTTTCATATTATTTTTTGAAAAAATAATGTAGTTAAACCAATAGATATAGACCTTAGCCTACATTATAATAACAGGAGTCTTAGTTTAATACGTTAATGATAATTCAATAAAATCTAGCTATTTTATTTTCCCAAGAATCTTAGGAAAGTACTACAAAATTTAATTAAAGGATAACATTGTCAATGAGCCTATTCATAATGAATGAGTCTATTAAATATTTTAGACACAGCTCACTATTCTGTGATTCTGATTCATGCTAACGCTGTATGGGGTTTCTGAGGAGTGACTGCTAGGTTTGAACTTACAGTTAGCAGTCAGTAGTTTAGTGCATACCCTACCATGTGACACCAGGACTCTGAACAAATATTTCTGCTGTTTACAATATAAAGCAATCCATACTTGTAATGTTTCCCCAAAGGTGATTATTTTCAATTGGAGAGGGAGGATTTTTAGCTCTCTCACAGTCTCTAGGGGTTTCTGAGATTCAATAAAACTTTAAAATGCATAGTACCACGCTTATTTTATTTTATTTTTTTTTGCTTTGGCTATCTTTGGAGCAGGTAAAAATGATCATTTAAATAAGATTGATACCTTACTAAAGTCTTGTTGTTGTTGTTAAGTGCCGTCGAATCAATTCCGATCCATAGCGACCCTGTACAGGGTTTCCGAGGGTGTAAATCTTTACTTAAAATATTTACTGATGAAGATCAAAAAGCACAGCCTTACGTATGGATTACAACTCAATGTAAAAACAACAAAAATCCTCACCACTGGACCAATAAACAGCAGTCTTCTCAACGGAGAAGAGATTGAAGTTGTCAAGGACTTCATTCTTGAATCAACTATTAACGCTCATGGAAGCAGCAGTAAGAGATCAGACGACGTATTGCACTGGGCAAATCTGCTGCACAGGAACTTTTTAAAGTACTGAAGAGCAGAGATGTCAGCTTGAAGACTAAGGTGCGCCTGACCCAAGCCATGGTATTTTCAATAACCTCATATGGATGCAAAGCTGGACAGTGAATAAGGAAGATCGTAGAAGAATTGATGCCTTTGAGTTGTGGTGTTGGAGGAGAATACTGAAAGTGCCATGGACTGCCAAAAGAACCAATAGATCTGTTTTGGAAGAAGTGCAACCAGAGTGTTCCTTGGAGGCCAAGATGGCTAAGCTTCGTCTCTCATACTTTGGACACATTGTCTGGAGAGAACAGTTGCTGGAGAAGGATGTCATGCTGGGTAATGTGGAGGGTCAGAGAAAAAGAGGAACACCCCCAACGAGATAGATCAGCCAGGTGACATCATTGATGGCGTCAAGTGTGGCGGCGGTAGTGAGGTTGGCCCAGGATCGGACATTGTTTCATTCTGCTGTGCATGGGGTCGCTATGAGTCGGTTCCGACTCGATGGCACCTGACAACAACAACAACAAATCTTTTCGGGAGTAGAAAGTCTCATCTTTCTCCCGCGGAACGGCTGGTAGTTTCGAACCGCTGACCTTAAGGTTCGCAGCCCGATTCATTACCACTACGCTACCAAAGCTCTTACTAAAGTCTAGGATAGCAATTTTGTGTGCAAGAGCTGTTTTAATTATTATAGAATATATTGGTGTCAAAATGCTTTTTGTGTTCTTTTAAAATTTCAAAAAGTGGCTCTGCAAGGTGGGCCACATGGAGACAGCTTGGAGGGGAGTTTTCTAGTTGTTAGTATGGCCCTGCTACCTTGACCACTTTGTTGTTGTTGTTATGTGCCATGGAGTCAGTCTGACTCATAGCCACCTTGTACTGGGTTTCTGAGGCTGTAAATCTTTACAGGAGCAGAGAATCTCATCTTGCTCCTGAGGAACAAATCGGGCTGCTAACCTCAGGGTCAGCAGTTCAAAACTACCAGCTGGATGTTTCGAACTGCACCCTGAGGTTAGCAGCCTGATTCGTAACCATTACGTTACATGACCACTTTAAGTGATAGTATTTTCAACTCCTGTGGACTGTAAAAACAAAAGAGTTGGAGTGATCCTTCTGCACAACTTGTCTGTAGTTTTTAATTCTGTTGTAGAACTTCTGGTCTAGAGTGAACTAAGTTAGCTAAAGATATTCTATCCAGTACAATATATGGCTACATTTGTGATGCAGATGAAAGTGCCAAGATCACAAGGAAAAACGCATGTTAATTAAGGTTCTGTAAAGCAAGAGAAAATAGTGTTGTTGAGTTATAGAACTGTACTTCAAACTGGGCCTGTGTGATTCAATGAAGAAAATCAACAGAAAGTTTCTGTCTTGGGGGAAAAAAAGAACTATTTTATTAAAAGGTTTTAACTTAAGTAAGGACATATTTAAGCCCCAAATTTTAAATCATGAAAATGAAAAGTGATCTTTGGAAGATGATAATAAAAACAATACTTGCAGGACAATGACAAAGCATTTGAAAAATTCTCCAGGTAATTTTGATATGGATTCACAATGACTAGGAGTGATCTCTACTACCAAAAACCAAAAGAATTCAATGAACTCAGCTAGACACAGCAACAACCTAATGATCAGAGGAGTTAATATGTGAGACATTAATTTTCTCACATGATAAGAAGCCTGAAAATAATCCATTTCTGAAATCTAATGCAGATGACAATGTGAAGGGAAGTGCCCCTGATGAAATGCCCACATATGTAATGTAAAGTGAAACAAACAGTTTAGAAGGATAACCAGGTATATATTCATATTTTTAATTACATACATAGACTAAGGGACTTCAAAAAGTTCATGGAGAAATAGAATGAAAAGATAATGAAATTTTTCTACAACATTTTTGAAATCCTTTGTATATGACAACTGTGTCTAAATGACCCCAAAGACCTGGATTATAAGTGCTAAGCTTTTATCATTCATGAATTTTCAAATACACAGAAAATTTATTGAATGCAGCACTTGTTTCTTAGTTTTCTTGTCATCCCCAGAACCTGACATGATGCTTGGGATATGTTGTTGTTGTTGATGTAAGTGCCATCTAGTTGGTTCTGACTCGTAGGGATTCTATGGAACAGCTGTTGGGTTTGAACCTCCAAGCTTTTAGCTAGAAGTCCAGTGCTTATCATACAGTGCCATATCAGAGCACTGAATAAACACTAGTTCAGTAAATGGATGGAAGAATGTATGGGCTAAGCAAATGATTTATTCCTTAGTACAGTGTGGACATTGCTAAGGAATAATTAGTTGCTCTTGTCATTGTTCATTAAAAAACACCAATTTTACAAATTAACAATTAAATGAACAGATATACAATAAGCAAAAATCCTCATTCCTACATCTATTAAAATAACAATGGATTATCAGTTTAAAAAGCAAGATAGAAATTGAGACAAATATTTTCATATCTGTATGAAAATTTGCTCATGTGCATAAATATTTGTTGGAGAATACTTATTTGAGCCTTTCTTGTTATAAGAAAAACAATGGAACCAAGTAAATATTTATTAAGAGACTAATGGAGTCCTGGTGTGGTGCTGTGGGTTAATGCGCCAGACTGCAAAGCCGTTTGAACTGCAAGGTCAGTGGCTCATGCTCACCAGCTGTTTCTCAGAAACCCAATATAGGGTCGCTGTGGGTCAGAATCAACTTGGCAGCACTTCACAACAACAACAATGGAGTCCTGGTGTGGTGATTTAGGAGAAGTACCACAACGTTGGTACCACCATCGGTGCCTCAGAAACTGCTCCTTGAAAACCCGCTCCTTGGAAACTGCTCTAAGTCAGAACCCACTCAACAGCACGTAACAGCAACAATAGTTAAATAAAACATTATGGAGAATTTTATATAACCACCAACAAAGACTGGGAGAGAATTATATGTACTGAAAACAGAAACCAAAATCCACAGTGCAACTTATTTTGTATAATCTCTTTTGTGAAAAGGAAAAACAAAAAGTGAGTATCTATGGTATGAGAAATACATACAGCTCTATATGGAAAGTAAATTAGTTCTGGAAAAAAGATAATGTAGACAGAAGATTGAGTTTAAATAGAAATGTTAACTTTTTCCCTATTATTATTTCGTACATACCAAGGTAAGTTAAAAAGTATTGCTAATAGGATTATAGTTGGCACATGCACGGGTGTGTTCCAAATATAACAAAAACATGTTTAAATAGGTCTCTGTAATTGGTAGCTGTCTGAAGACAAGTTCTCTCAGTAACACACTTGTCTCAGTGTCGTTAGGGTACCTTCAAATAAAAGGTCCAATCAAAACAGTTTTCAAGGGAATCTATTGGGCCAGTTAAATTCAAAACAGAGAGGTCAGCTCAGAAGGTTATGGTGACTAGTTTTATTTTTAATTCTAAAATGGTAATCTTGATAGCTTTCTTTAACGGACACAGGACAATCATGGGGCTTATTATGATAAAGTTTTAAGAAAATTGAAAACTGCATTGGTAAGCAAAAGATCATGAAAATTGTGCCAAAGAATTGTTTTTTTTTTTTTTTTCCAGAACAACGCATCCGTAACTTTTTGTCCAATACAACCATGCACTTCAAGGGTAGCAAGGGCTGCACTAAGATAATTTTGTTGGGACGCCAAACCCTATTTGGCCTACTGCCCTGATCTTACACTTTCAGGTTATTTTTTTCTTCCCCAAACTGAAAAAACATGTAAAAGGAATACTTACTGATGAAGCTCAAAGAGCACATTCTTTGGTGTGGATTGCATCTCAGTGTAAAGAAAACAAAAATCCTCACCACTGGACCAATAAACAACATTTTTATCAACGGAGAAAAGATTGAAGTTGTCAAGGACTTTATTCTTCTTGGATCAACTATCAACATTCATGAAGGATCAACCAAGAAATTAAATGATGTATTGCATTAGGCAAATCTGCTGTTCAAGACCTTTTTAAAGTGTTGAAGAGCAAAGATGTCACCTTGAAGACTGAAGTGCACCTGACCCAAGCCATGGTATTTTCAATAGTCTCATATGCATGCAAAAGCTGGACAGTGAAT